GTTGTAGGCCTTAACGAGATCTACATGACAGGTGTCAGCTGTCATTCTAAAAAGTCGTTCATATCGGAAACTATGCGTGCTAGACTAGTGGTTTCTTTGGGAAAGTTGTAGGCCTTAACGAGATCTACATGACAGGTGTCAGCTGTGATACTAAAAAGTTGTTTAAATCGGAAACTATGCGTGATAGGCTATTGGTTTCTTTGGGAAAGTTGTAGGCCTTAACGAGATCTACATGACAGGTGTCAGCTGTCATTCTAAAAAGTCGTTTATATCGGAAACTATGCGTGCTAGAATGTTTACTATTTTTGAAGAAATTTTTCCACAAGATAGTATTTTTTGGGAACACTTGGTGTTTTAATCAAACACTAGATATTGATATTAACTTTTTGGTTATAAAGTTAATACAAACGAAGCAAGCGGAAAAAATTCACACCGCCGGCGGGATTCGAACCCACGTCTTCTGACAAGCCGGGTCAGACGTGTTAAGCCGCTACACCACGGCGGGTTCTGCCCGAGGCGGCGAAATTGTGATCCACTTGCTTCGTTCATATTGCTTTGTCACATGACTACTCACGGGTAGCTTGAGCGCCATCTATGACTTTGTAGTAGAACTATACAGTCACTCAACTGACAACATTACGTATGTACAAGTGTAGCGGCTTAACACGTCTGACCCGGCTTGTCAGAAGACGTGGGTTCGAATCCCGCCGGCGGTGTGAATTTTTTCCGCTTGCTTCGTTTGTATTAACTTTATAACCAAAAAGTTAATATCAATATCTAGTGTTTGATTAAAACACCAAGTGTTCCCAAAAAATACTATCTTGTGGAAAAATTTCTTCAAAAATAGTAAACATTCACAAATCGGAAAAAGCTCCATCTCTCGTCAACTTGTACATACGTAATGTTGTCAGTTGAGTGACTGTATAGTTCTACTACAAAGTCATAGATGGCGCTCAAGCTACCCGTGAGTAGTCATGTGACAAAGCAATATGAACGAAGCAAGTGGATCACAATTTCGCCGCCTCGGGCAGAACCCGCCGTGGTGTAGCGGCTTAACACGTCTGACCCGGCTTGTCAGAAGACGTGGGTTCGAATCCCGCCGGCGGTGTGAATTTTTTCCGCTTGCTTCGTTTGTATTAACTTTATAACCAAAAAGTTATGCGCGCTAGACTAGTGGTTTCTTTGGGAAAGTTGTAGGCCTTAACGAGATCTACATGACAGGTGTCAGCTGTGATACTAAAAAGTCGTTTAAATCGGAAACTATGCGTGATAGGCTATTGGTTTCTTTGGGAAAGTTGTAGGCCTTAACGAGATCTACATGAGAGGTGTCAGCTGTTGTAACGGTACAAGGCCTTCTTTCGTTTATTGTCAAAAATATAAATTACATGCCTAACATAATATGAATCAAAAGTACCTTATCAATTAAACAAAATCAGACAATAATTTGTTTGTTTGTAAACATGGGAATAAATATTTATGATTTGAGTATTTGTTTTTTAAACTGTTAAAGGTCTAAATAAATTATATTTCTAAGTGAATTATCTTATGTTTTCTACTGCAATAATTCAAAAATATATTTTTAACTGTGATTGCATCTAAAATAATTAAAAGATGATAGTCTAAGCATACATTACAAATACATAGTACAGCTGTCACAATGTTTTTCTCTTTCAGACCGACAACTTTTGCAAACAAACTGATAGTCTGGCATGCATAACTGCGGAGACAACTGAGTTTAAAGTTTGACAGCTGTCACTTAAAATGTAGATCTTGGCAAGACCTACAACTTTTCCAAAGAAACTAGTGGTGTAAAAAACGTATTTAACGAGGTAAACGAGTTTGAAGTTTGACAGCTGACACCTGTCATGTAGATCTCGTTAAGGCCTACAACTTTTCATAAGAAACCAGTAGTCTAGCACGCATAGATTCCGATAAAAACGACTATTTAGTATGACAGCTGACAACTGTCATGTAGATCTCGTTAAGGCCTACAACTTTCCCAAAGAAACCAATAGTCTAGCACGCATAGTTTCCGATATAAACGACTTTTTAGTATGACAGCTGACACCTGTCATGTAGATCTCGTTAAGGCCTACAACTTTCCCAAAGAAACCAATTGTCTAGCACGCATAGTTAAGGAGATAAACGAGTTTAAAGTTTGACAGCTGACATCTGTCATGTATATCTCGTTAAGGCCTACAACTTTCTCAAAGAAACCATTAGTCTAGCACGCATAGTTTCCGATATAAACGACTTTTTAGTTTGACAGCTGACACCTGTCATGTAGATCTCGTTAAGGCCTACAACTTTTCCAAAGAAACTAGTTGTGTAACGTGCATAGTTAATGAGATAAACGAGTTTAAAGTTTGACAGCTGACACCTGTCATGTAGATCTCGTTAAGGCCTACAACTTTCCTAAAGAAATCAATAGTCTAGCACGCATAGTTTCCGATATAAACGACTTTTTAGTATGACAGCTGACACCTGTCATTTAGATCTCGTTAAAGCCTACAACTTTCCCAAAGAAACCAATAGTTTGACAGCTGTCACATTAAATGTAGGTCTCGTCAAGACCTACAACTCCTTCAAAGAAACTTTTATGCGCACTGAGACATATTTGAGAAGGTGGATGCACAGACCGAATGACTACTCAATGGAACTACTGCGATTGATCGTAAACGAAGCTTCGCGATAGCTCCATTGTCAGAGCCAATGGAACTAGTGCGAAAAAAACGTTCGCAGTAGTTCCATTGGACTAATCTCAATGGAACTACTGCGAACGAAGGAAAAAGTTCGAGGGTAGCTCACAAAACTCTGGGTCCGACTGGAAAGGCTTCTACGCTAGCGTGATAGAAGTCCACGGACAGCTAGGTAGGTATACAAAGGACCTCCTGTTGACAATAAAACACTTCGCTTAGAAACGGGCCAGAACATGACTTTAACCAGAAGGGCAGGTATAAAGAAACTACCTAAAAATCCCTAACAGACTTTTATAAAAATACACACTTACCAGTGGAGGTTTTGCAGCACACTTCGCGCCTCAGCGCGCAACGGGTCAGGCAGGGTAATACGGCATTCGGTCCAGTGCGGATTTTTCAGCTCACTTCACCACAATGTATAATTATTCACTGTAAAATAACGCAACACGGAATTACCGAACTGTTCAAACTCACTAATTAGTTGTATTTAAAAGAAAACTCCCACACAATTTTATCTACTCACCAGCTGTTCCAGAATCTTCGAAGCGCGCAAAGAATATTTTCCCATAGAATATGGCAACGGCTCACGGTCCTCTTCAAATCGGGAGCGTGTCGTTCCAAATCAACTGAAATAAAGGAAATCGAATAAGACTTCGCTAAGTAAGCTCCACGGTAACATCCGCCATTTGCATTCCATTTACCTGGAGGTGATGAGCGTTTTTCCTTCGCGCCGGCCCGATCGAAAAAGGCATTAAAATCCGACTTATTACTGCATTTCTACTATATGAAAAAGGAACGGCAACCTTCCAAATATTCTACCAACTCATACGAAATACCGTCACTATGACACTTCGATACAGAAATCTTAACTTTGCAAGATTATAATCGAACGCGAACCAAATTATTGCCGCTCACTAGCACAATGTGAACTAACAATTTCCCATCCAAACAACTCCCTTTGCACTACTATTTTCCTTGAAAAACCAAAAACCATATTACGAAATTCGTCGGAAAAATTAAATCTTTAACTTATCGATCTAACTCGGTTGTTCCTGGCAACACGAATGACCCACCGGCCATCTACAGGATCCAGACAGTACTCGTACGTAAGGCATCGTCACGTCGAGCGTCGAAACATAATCGAGCGCCTTGACGACCTCACACGGACGCCTTGCTTCAATGTGCGGCCAAGGGATGGCGCTGAGAAGAATTCTTTATTTTGATAGAATCTATATTGTTTAGTTTCGTACCATACGTTTTGTTGTTTCGCGCCATTTCGCCTGACAGACCGCGACCTGTGACGTTGACGTCGGCCGACGCCATTTTTTTCCTTTGTTCGTTCAGTCCGTTCGATAATCACGCGGCCGCCGGCAATATAACCTCACTTTTTTTGTCGCTCGCGTCGCGGCTGCCGATAGCCACATATTTTAATTGTTTTCTTGATTGGGGGCCAACGGGGCTGATTTCTCATGCGGGGAGAAATCTTTTAGTTTTTGCGTTTTGTACAGCGAACTCTTTGCTGTCGCAACTCTTTTGTTATTTGTGTGTTAAAACATTAAATTTAAACATTGATATCTATATTTGATGTCGAACTGAATAATAGTGGTGGTAAAGGTCTTCGGTTGGATGTTGGAGCGGCGGATTGCAGTCCGGAGCTGGTATCCAGTGGCAGTGAGTCATAGTGTATTGATTTTCCTATCCAAATGTGCTCCAAAATTCCTGATACCTTTTTTTTCCGTCACACTTGACTCATAAGGGAACAGCGGCGACATACTTGCCAAACGGTAAGCAATTCGCTGTTAGGTTCTGTGTACGTTGATTGCAGTGATTTAGCAACATTACGTGGAGGTCACCACCCTGATGACCTTTAGTACAACCGGAACTTGGTACATATACTTTAGACATGAGCTGCGATAGTGCGGTAGAATATTAGTCATATTGTAGGAAATTAAGGGCCGTTGCAGACGGATCCCAGAATTTCTCGGCCGGAAATTTTCCGGAACGAAAATTTTCTCATTAAATTTAGTTTATTTAGCTATAGTAAGGAGCACTACGAATCGTAGTCAAATGTTGTTCCGAGGCTGATCGACCATTTAGTTTTAGATTTTAAGATAACTTAATTTGCTTCCACTGCGCTAAGATCAGCTTCGGAATCAAACATATATTCTATCATCTATAAATTTTACGGTCTTTTTCATAAGGTAAAAATAACGCGTTACAACTTATGGACTGGAATTTTATTATATTTAATATCCAACACTTAAATCCTAAATGAAAAAAAAAGAAATTGAAAAATTTTTATGCATCGACCGGTGCTCGAACCCGGGCTTCATGGGTTACCCCCACCGCTCTGCCACTGAGCTATCGATGCCTGCCAAATATTCAATCTTTTGATGCTCGTCTCTAAGCGACGATTTAGTAGAAACGTGACGACATCTGTAGAAAGTGTTTACAACTTTATTACGAGCGCCCAAGGTCTATTGCTATAAATTGACTTGATATTTTTATTGTAATATATTGACTTGATATTTATTGTTATTTTTGTTGGTCCCAGGCAAGACGCCATCCCTGTACCGGCACGAGCTGCTGTCGCTAATGGGCGCGCGCGCTGCGGGCGGCACGGGGCGCTCCCTGCGCGTGTTGCCGCCGAGACTGCTGCCTCGCACCAGGGTCAACAGCACGCGCCTGCCCGACACCAGAGGTACACAACCCTAGAGTATATACCAGGCAAACCTCGTGTCTGTACCGGCACGAGCTGCTGTCGCTAATGGGCGCGCGCGCTGCGGGCGGCACGGGGCGCTCCCTGCGCGTGTTGCCGCCGAGACTGCTGCCTCGCACCAGGGTCAACAGCACGCGCCTGCCCGACACCAGAGGTACACAACCCTAGAGTATATACCAGGCAAACCTCATCCCTGTACCGGCACGAGCTGCTGTCGCTAATGGGCGCGCGCGCTGCGGGCGGCACGGGGCGCTCCCTGCGCGTGTTGCCGCCGAGACTGCTGCCTCGCACCAGGGTCAACAGCACGCGCCTGCCCGACACCAGAGGTACACAACCCTAGAGTATATACCAGGCAAACCTCGTGTCTGTACCGGCACGAGCTGCTGTCGCTAATGGGCGCGCGCGCTGCGGGCGGCACGGGGCGCTCCCTGCGCGTGTTGCCGCCGAGACTGCTGCCTCGCACCAGGGTCAACAGCACGCGCCTGCCCGACACCAGAGGTACACAACCCTAGAGTATATACCGGGAGTAACAGAAAGGGTATAAAAAGCCGAAAAGAGGTCAAGGTACTCATGAAACTGAACAACTTTCGATCAACGATCAGCTGATTGATTTATTAAGAGAGATCCAATTTTTTTTCGTATTTCGACCCATGTTCCATGGGGAAAGTTGTTCAGTTTCATGAGTACCTTGACCTCCTTTCGGCTCGTTATACCCTTTCTGTTACTCCCGGTATAAGCAAGCTATAGAGTGCGCATATCGGCCCGCGCCGTACTGTAAAAGCGTAAGCAGTTCTTTGCTCCCTAGATACAGACGTCAAATGTATGAGAAGTCATAGATGTTCAATAGTGCTGTCACTGGCGGCGTTTTGCTACTGATGGACAGAGAGGTTGTGCTCTAACTACTGCCAACAGTACTAACTTTTTGGGCGCACTCTATAGCTCGCTTATATATACTTTAAGTATACAACCCTACAGCTGACACCAGCCAAACCTCATATCTGTATTGGCACGAGCTGCTGCCTCGCACCAGGGTCAACACCACGCCCTGCCCGACACCAGAGGTACACAACCCTAGAATATATATGGTGAATTTTTACTAGTGACCGATAGCGAAAACTCAGAACCGGCTAGTGATAATGAACAATTTTCCATAAGGAACATAGGCCGAAATATGAAAAAAAAATTGTACCTCCCATAGTCACAGAAATCAGCTGATCGGCAATTTTGTATGGGAGGTCCAAATTTTTTTTTTCATATTTCGACCTATGTTCCTTGGGGAAAGTAATTCATTATCACTACCCGGTTCTGAGTTTACGCTATCGGTCACTAGTAAAAATTCACTGTATATAAGCAAGCTATAGAGTGCGTATCGGCCTGCGCCGTACTGTAAAAGCGTAAGCAGTTGCTCCCTAGATACAGACGTCAAATGTATGAGAAGTCATAGAGGTTCAATAGTGCTGTCACTGGCGTTTTGCTACTGATGGAGAGAGAGGTTTGTCCTCTAACTACTGCCGACAGTTCTAACCTTTTAGGCGCACTCTATAGCTTGCTTATATATACTTTCAGTATACAACCCTACAGCTGACACCAGCCAAACCTCATGCCTGTACCGGCACGAGCTGCTGTGCTGCCACCGAAATCTATGTTGCCAGTTATCTCCAAAACCACTGGTCTGATTTTGATGCGGTTTTCAGTGATAGATTAATATTTCACTGGGAAACTTTTATTTTTTGGGTCGACGCAACATGTCTTTCTTCTATTCATCTCTATCACCATTCAAATCCTCACCTACGCCTATTTTTCATATCGTCTTTTAAACAATCTATCCAAACTCTTAGGCTTTCATCTTCTTCTGAGTCCATCCACATTCATGTTCATTACTTTCTTTGTTACACGCTCTTTATCCCTCCTATTACATGCCCATAGCAAGATAAACGGTTCCCTCTCATTTTTTCTGTCACTGACGCTACTTTCAAACTCCCTCTAATATTTTCATTCCTTATTTTATCCATCCTTGAAATATTATAATAATGTATCGGTTTTGTTCGCAGGGTGCACGCGGTGCTGCGTCGCTAGGAATCCGTACAACGGCTACAAGTACTTGTGCGGCGCGACGCCCGCCGGCGTCTTCCTCATGCAGTGGTACGACCCGCTACACAAGTTCATGCTGCTCAAGGTAATGGAACCCTTACAGTACAACGGCTACAAGTACTTGTCGGCGTCTTCCTCATGCAGTGGTACGACCCGCTACACAAGTTCATGCTGCTCAAGGTAATGGAACCCTTACAGTACAACGGCTACAAGTACTTGCGCGTCTTCCTCATGCAGTGGTACGACCCGCTACACAAGTTCATGCTGCTCAAGGTAATGGAACCCTTACAGTACAACGGCTACAAGTACTTGTGCGTCTTCCTCATGCAGTGGTACGACCCGCTACACAAGTTCATGCTGCTCAAGGTAATGGAACCCTTACAGTACAACGGTTACAAGTACTTGTGCGTCTTCCTCATGCAGTGGTACGACCCGCTACACAAGTTCATGCTGCTCAAGGTAATGGAACCCTTACAGTACAACGGCTACAAGTACTTGTCGGCGTCTTCCTCATGCAGTGGTACGACCCGCTACACAAGTTCATGCTGCTCAAGGTAATGGAACCCTTACAGTACAACGGCTACAAGTACTTGTGCGTCTTCCTCATGCAGTGGTACGACCCGCTACACAAGTTCATGCTGCTCAAGGTAATGGAACCCTTACAGTACAACGGCTACAAGTACTTGTGCGTCTTCCTCATGCAGTGGTACGACCCGCTACACAAGTTCATGCTGCTCAAGGTAATGGAACCCTTACAGTACAACGGCTACAAGTACTTGTGCGTCTTCCTCATGCAGTGGTACGACCCGCTACACAAGTTCATGCTGCTCAAGGTAAAAAATAAAAATAAAATCTTCTTCTTCTTCATCTTCGAGTGGGACCCTGGTGAGAGTTTTTCAACCGCCTACTACAAGTTGCGAATACCCTTATAAGAAAAACAAAACGTGAAATACAAAATTATTTGAGATTTGGCCAAAATCGGAGTATGACATGCATTCAACTAACACGGGTTTTGTATGAGGCCTTTTCTTTGACAGCTATCATAAAAGCAAAACCTAGTAATTAGTATAAAAACTCTGACACTGGGTCGGGTTCATCGGGTCGTTGGATGACCACACTCGAAAAGGAAGGAAAGTATAATAATCGGTAGATGGCGCTAGCAACAGATGTACACAAACGCTCGCAATAAAAACAGTCTATAACGAAACTAGTGTTGTAGTAATAGGCCTAGGATTTTTTAATACATTACCTACTACCAAAACGTTTTTCCTTGCTCGTTAAACTCACTTACTGATAATTGTCATGCATAAACTGTTGTCAAAAATTACCAATGCTCTTTCAGCGCTATCTATCAATGATCTTTGTACTAATTTCCACTTTTTAATATGTGTCAAAAAAGTGCTCCGTACATTTTACATAATTCTGCATTTGACTAGAAGTTACATTCAACACAATAATAACATAAATATTTTATTTTTTTCAGAACATCGAATGCACTCTACCATCGCCGCTGTTGGCTTTCGAGTTGATAATAGTGCCGGAGCTGGAGTACCCTCTTTTGTGTGTCGGCGCAACGAGACATCCGCTCAGATTGAATCTTATCAATATCAACTCCGGTAAGCTTTACGATTCATGGATAAATACGTTAATAAATGTGGGCCTCCACACCAAAAGAAATGAGAAAATTAAAAAATTAAATACCAAATTTTAAAACACTTCTCGTGCCAGGTAAACAATTTTTGGAAAACTTCCAAAATTTTCACTGCAGGTAGAGCCGCGATTAGAACCGCGGTAGCCTAGTTGGTTAGGGCGTCGGCAGTACTGATGCCGAAGGTCGCAGGTTCAAATCCTGCCTGCGGTGAAAATATTGGAAGTTTTCCAAAAATTGATTAAAAAATTAATTAGCGTCGAGTGGGGCGTAAACCCAGGACCGTGGGGTACCGTCCCACTGCTCTGCCAACTGCTACCTGTTTACGAAATTTGTAACCTCTTGATGCTCGTTTCGAAGTGACGATTTTAGCGATACTAGCAATAACTTAACTTTTCAATTTATTACCGATTTTCAATTATGACAATAATATAACATTGTGAGTGCATTAAAATCCCAATATACCGGGAGTAACAAGCCGAAAGGAGGTTAAGGTACTCATGAAAATTACAACTTTCTCCAAGGCACATCGATCGGTAGTAATATGAAAAATAAATTGGGCCTGCCATACAAATCGCCGATTAGCTGATTGATTTACTACGAGATGTCTAATTTCTTTTTATATTTTGGTTGTTCAGTTTCATGAGTACCTTGAGGTCCTTTCGGTTTGTATTACCCTTTTTATTACTCCCTGTACTGCCATACATACTATGCTTGACTGGTGGTTTGGCGAGCGCAGTGTATTCACAGTGATGTGTGTCGCAGGTGCTCGGTGGTTCCATTCCGACGAGCTGGAGGGGTGCGGGGGTGTGGGCAGCGCGGCCACGGTCGTCGCTCGCGACACGCTACACACGCTTCGCGCCGTGCATCAGCTCAACAAGGACGAGGTAATGGTGGTGTGTGTGTATGTGTG